ATAGTAATAGTATAGCGGGCCTAGCATTTGTAATTATTGGGGTTGGAATTTGACCAATTGAGGCAGAAAGAGTCGTAAAGTTCTTCAATTAATATTAGCTTTGTAGCAGTGATTAAAATAGTAAACAAGATGCCAATAAATTAGAATTATCTTTGTGTTTTAAAAATGATGAGACTGATACTTGAGTTGAAGCAGCTCGAAAGCAGGCATGTCCACAGCAGCGGTCCAGTTGAACCTACTGGATGAGGGAGCTTAGTAAGTTCTAGGAAAGACTGTGGTTAGTGACTGTTACAGGACATGATGAAGTACTTAAACCTTGTAGGGTGTTTGTTTGTTTGTTTAAAAGGACTATTAAATTTAAAGTGGGAGATGTCTGGGCTGCCTCTGGTGAGTCAGCACCATCAGCAGCCAAGGCCCCCCTGAGACCCACTTTGGCTGATTCAGTTGCTGTCTTAGAAGTCTTTTCAATCAAACCAACACTCCATAATGTCTATTTACTGTACTGTATGCCATAGTTTGCTTTAAATGTAAAGTTATTGTTAATGTTAATGAAAAGTGACACTTCCAGCCACATTTGGGCTGCAAGGTATGACATGACTCTGTAGTAGAAATCACTGCACGGACTGAAACTCACCTCCTAACAACAGGGATTCCAGCCTGCTTTGAGCAGTGGGGCATCTGTCTGCAATACACAATGAATTTCCAAATAAAAGACTGTGATTGATCCAGTCCATCTGAACTGGCAGGACACTGTATAGAATGACAGAAACACATATATACGACTTTGCTGATGGGTCAGGCAATACCAAGTTTTAATCTGATTCCAACACTTGTTTCATTCCTAGAAAAATTGAGCATTTAGTGAAGAAATGTATAATGTGAGGAGACATTCTCTGATGATAATGGAAAAACAAATGCAGAGAAATGACAGGAATAAAGGGGAGAGATATGAGGCATGACATGTAGGAAAGGTCACCAGCTGGAAGCCAACCTGTTGAAGTTGATAATATGCACCATAACCTAAGGCGACCTGGTGTCCTGAGAGTGCAAATTCACTGTATTTTGTTGCTGGTTGTTATGTGGAGACACATACCAGAGGCCCTCTTTCCTGGTGAGGATTTGAGTGAGTAAAAATACATGCCAATTTGGATTGAGGTCTGGAGAGACAGACAGCACATACTTAGTTTGGCATTTCTCCAGGATCATTGCTGTACTGCCTTACAATAGGAGAGGATGCTTAAAATGCCGCAAATCCTAAAGACTTCGTCCAGTGTTGATGTGAACACCCTGTAACCCTCTCAGAGCTGAAAGTCAGCAGTTAAACCTTGCAGACATTGTTCCATTTCAAATCCAGTGAGCTGGAGTAAAGCCAAAAAGCAATGAAAGGGAGAAAAATGTTTCTCTTTCCAAATACTTACAGACTGCGCTGTGTATCTGAGGAAACCATCAGCAAATAACAAAAAAGTAGATTGTGTTGTTGTGGGCTGCAAAAGCACTTTGTGGCAGCTGCTCTTCTGTTTTGAGAGGTTCACATGTAACAAGTAATACACAGACTGCGCTGCTTTAGAAACTGCCACTTTGCCCTCCATGCACAACCACTTTGTTACATCATGTAGCTCCGATGAAAAATTCCCCCACTGGGTGAAAGACCTGCATTCTATTATTCATAACCGTCCACATTTGTATTCTGCTTCATTTGAGCAATGCTAGCATTACAGTTTTGCGATAAACTCATCCATGATGGTGTAGCCAATATTAAGGGCAACCACAGGGTTCCTCCTCTTTCTCTCCATCACTCTGTCTCTCTCTCTCTCAATCTTTCTCCCACTCTCTTTGTCAGTCTTGCAGTGGTTTGATGGCCGTAGCTGACAGATGACAATCTCATTTCCATTCAGGCGTGCTACCCTGCTATCTAGGGGCTAAGCCATGCAATAGCTATAAGTGTCACATTAAATCCCAGCCAGGGAGATAGGAATGGCAGGGTGACAGAGGAGCCATTCACAACCGCCATTATCTATGTCTCTGTGGGTGACACCCACAGATAGAAATGTGCAGCTGTAGTGTGGCCGTGCGGAAGCGAAGGCATGTTTAGGTAGCCATGATCTTTACAATGTCCCAGAGCAATCTCCTGCCAGACACCGGCTGTGATTCGCTTCACAAGTTGAGAGCGATGCGGGTCTCATACTTGACAGCAGCAGCCATGATGACAGTGGTGATGATGGTGATTATGCTGGTCATACCAATACTGATCAATGATTATGATGATTATGATGATTATGTCTAAATTATTATGATGATTGAGCTTGATGGGAATGGTGGTAAATGTGATGATCAATGCTTAGGAGCTTGATGTATATTCAAGTTTATCATGAAGGATTCGCCAAGAAAATCACCCAAACTACCACATTAATTCAAACATGTGCAATCAAAAGCCATTTCATTAACAGCAGAGGGTAATTACCTTCACTCAAATGCAGATTGAGGAGGTATGAAGGATTTGAAAGTTGAAATAATGGGTAGCTCTTTGGTTGACGGCAATTGAATTGCCCATCCAAGTGAAGAAACTGAAGATCTCCTGTAATTATTCCAGCCTGTGAACATGGAAATCCAGGTCCTATTGCTCAACCACTTACAGGCTGCAAGCATTACATTTCAGACCTTTTAATAGGCTTCATTATACCAAAGGGGATAAATAGCATGACACTCTTGTTGTCTGGCACCCATACGCTCAACGACCACATGTTCTTTCTTCTCCCCAAATTAACTGGCACTGAAAGAACAATACCAGCACCCGCGAAAGGGCAGCAAAAACTTCACCTGGCAGTCGAAGACAATTACCCAGAGAAGAATGCTCTCCCCCGCATTTAGCTGATGAGATTTTGGGCGAGGTGCAAAGAGGAGAAGTGGAGGGGAAAGAAAAAAATCCCAGTCCAATTACCGTGACCCTGAAGAGATTTGGGAGCTCTCTGGATAACGTGCGAGTGGGGTTGTTTGAATGGAACAGCGGTAGAAAAGGGGAAAATGAATTATCGATTCTAATTACACAGGCCTGCGATTCCCTGCTCTCTGTGTGACAGGCCTCTTTTCAGTTCTGTCATTGTAGACCCTGTTTATGGGAAAGGCTGGGACATTAACATTGTGCACTGATTGGAGTTGTTAAGTGACTGAAGTTGTTAATATTGATTATTTGGTTAGTGTCTGAGTTGCATGATGCTTCATGGTTTTAAGGGTTAACACATGAGAATGGTCCTTAAATTTGCCTCTGCCACTTTATCATTCACCGTCACGGCCATCAGTGGGAGTACAGTACACTACACACAGCCTCAACGAAAAGACATATATGCTTTGTAAACTCATAGAGGAACCTGAGAGTTGAGCAATCAGAGCATGACTGTACATCCTTTTGGTTAAGTCTACGAATGAGAGTTATAGTCAAGTGTTCTCGACTGAAATGCAGTCATTAGTTTATTCATTATTGTGTTTGCATAAAAGATAAAATAGAATCAAGTCATAGAAATGCAAAAGGTTTGCTATAAGAAACCCATAAGTGCAAAGAATTGGGCAATTTCATCAACTTCAGTACATAGACTGTTGTGATTTTCGAGCCCTTTAGGCTAAAATAATCAGGATCCGTATTGAGCACGTATCGTCAGTGTTGCCTATCACACAGCAAATAGGTTGCCATTCTAGTCAATGCTGCAAAGCACACGGGATGTGTATCAGCTCTGTCGCAGCATCATATCAGAAGCGTATCAAGAGCAGCACCGCTAAAGATACGTGACAAGTCTATTTTTGCTGCTCTACGCTTCCAATGCGCGTCAGTTAACACAAAGAAGATCGTTCCCGACAGGAAGTCAAGCACAAAAACCATGTCTTACGGTGTTTCAAAATAAAACACCATATGCGAAGTCCTGACTGTGTATCGGTTCATGTAGATGAGAAATACTTCCTGGTTATGGATTTATCAGTAACACAGAACAATTCGATGGTCAGTCCCTGATCCATGTGGACCCCAACAGGACTTTTAACTGCTAACTCTGTCTGAAGGTAACAGTACGGCAAGGGAACATAGTTTACTTTATTAAACATGAGTAAACCTGCAAAAACCGAGACTGTGAAGTCACGTTGCTTTTTCACATATAGTAGAGGCTCAACAGTCACTGAATTATATCCAAATTAGCAGGAAGTAGACCACAGAAAGGAAAAACAACCTGTTGTGAGCATGCTGTTTCCTCTATACTGAGCCCAGCTGACCGGGCTGCACTACGCTGCTGCAACGCCTCAAATACGCATCTTGTTTGCGATACCCAATGCTGCTCTATGGAGCAAATACAGAACACACTCAATACAAATCCTGTATGTTTTCCACTGATGTGAAAGTATATTAAAAACAGACTTGACTCTTTAATGGAAATCACCACATGGACTAAAACTTACTTCTTAACTCCACCATCAGAGGAAACCATGTAAACGTGATTCAAATGCACCAGGAATGTCTTCACCCATTTAAGATGGACTGAGGCAAAGTGTAAAATTATCCTGTGGTCTGACCAATCAGAAATTGACAATCAGGATGCTAGATGTTCTGCTCTGAAGAGGAGAGCGACTATCCATCCCTCACTTTCCCAGTCAACAGTGTGAGTACAGGACATTTTTTAACATTTCCTCATTTCTGCAAATCACTAGTTAAAGCTGCAGAGCATGCTTGAGTAGCCCTGTTGGGAATTTTGCGGCAGAGCTCAGCCGTGTCTGCTCTGCATAGATTATTAGCATATGTATAGAACATATTTGCATGCAGTGCCTTTCAAAAAGTTCACTAACACTGCTGGGAACTCTACCTTCTTTCACGTTTGTGTTACATAATCCTCAGACTAAACTGAGAGAGTTTAATACTCTCATCTGCAGGTTTCACATCAGAGGCTTTTGGGGTACAGGAAATTCAACACAAGGTCTCTTTTGTTTTGTATTTGCAGAAAACAAGGCACATACAAATACAAATTCTACCCCCCGTTTGGTCGTCTTGCTTCCTTTACTGCCTTCATCATATTGCGGTTTCTCCACTTGTCTTGAAGCGGACTTTTTAAACACATCTTCTGCGCATGGCCACACACGTGCTCCGCATCATGGTGGTGTGAGCTCGGGGTGGGCGCGAGGCGTCTGATGGAAACAGGACGCACTCGTTGAGAATACTGATGAGATTCAGTGAGTGCGGATTCCTCAGATGCTAGAGTCAGACACACATGCGCCGCCGTCATTCACACTTATACACAACCTCAACCTCTGTGATCCCTGTCAGGACTCGCCCTCCCTTGCATTTTCTGCTAATACACTTTGACGCGAAGTCCAATGTGTTGACTGAATGTCTACTAAAGTCAGAATGCCTGAAGTTGAAGTCTTTAACACTTGGACAGCAGAAAATACAGTTTTACGCCCATTTTATCCACCAAATTATGAATGAGCTCTCAACACTGAAGCCTGATCAGATGTGGTTTGGATGTTGTATTTGACAAGCCAATATAAATTATTGTCTCTGGATATATGATTCCTGTTAGTATTCCCCACCTCGGTGAATAATGTCTCAGAACAGATGAATAATAGAAAGCCATTAATATTAACCTTGTGGATATGTATTTGCATTTAATAGAGGTTTTACAGTAACATTCTGGTATCTTTCTCTTTGCTAACCACAGAGGGGTCTTCAGTCCTTAACGTCTTTTAGATATCTTAATTTTTGTTTTAATCGCTTGTAAAATGAGACTTTTATGTCCCTCATTTTGTAAAAACCAGTCTAAACATGCCTTGAAAGAGCAGTGTTTCCCACTCACAGATGACGCCTGGGCAGGCCACCCAAGTATATTTTTGGCCACCCAAGTGTAATCACTTTTGCATTTCCTCTTACTTTTGTGTTTTTTTTTCCCATCATCATCTGTTATCAATGATTTATCACTCTGCGCCCCTGGTGTCTGATCATTTAAGGAGCCTGAGAGAGAGAGAGAGAGAGAGAGAGGTCTGTCAGTAAGTCTCTCCTCCTAATACATTCATTGAGGAGCAGCGTCTAATGACAAATAAGAGCCTTCCCATGCTGCTGATTAACAATGCATGTGTAGCTGACTGCTGTCGATGCCACCCTGCAATATCCTAACTTTGGATTATTTCATAACACTACGTCATTATCGAGCCTCGTCTACACATGGTTCACCTTTTGTGATAACAGGCTATCAAGAGAAAGATCACAGCTTAAGAAGTGTTATTTGACTGTCTTGTCAGAACATGCTGCTGATGGATACTGTCAAAAGATCAGGCGCAGAGACGGAGGAAAAAAGGGGGTAAAGCTGCAGTGTATTCAAAGGAGAAAGCAGTAGGTGAGGTGTAGAGGTGAGGTGTTTGGCAAGGATAACAGGGTTGAAAAAAAAAGTAAGATGAGCAAATAAAAACTTGTGAGTTTTTGTTTGTGTCCATTGTTGCGCCCCCTGTGGACACAGAAGTCTTTGCTTACCTTGGTCTCTACATGCTTAATGGTGTCTTCTGACAAAAGAGCCCATCCTGTTGACTTTTGACACTCACATTTATCGTTTTTTGGGAACATTTATTGTAAAAAAAATGTACTCTATTCTTCGGGCGATAAAGCACACCAGATTATATGGCACACTGTGAATTAACGTCTTTGTTCAGACATAAGGCGCACCGGATTGTAAGGCGCATTAAGCATTGATTGGTTTATTGTTGCTAGTGCATATTCAGGGCTGCCTTACATAAATGCACTTCTAATTTAGACATTACAGTACGGCAGTCTTGTAGACTGTTCAGGGGTCCTGTTATGGGGCCAGTTAGGTAGTGACACAGCATACCGTAATGCTCCAAATATCCATTGAGCAGAGCGGCTTCGTTGCTTACCGAAGTCGTACTTACACATTTGGGCAGATTTATGAGCGCATTGTATTACATAAAATCAGTCAGTAAGCACAAGTAATCATACATAATGCGCGCTGGATTATAAGGCACACTGTCAATTTTTGAGAAAGTTTTAAGATTTTTAGTTCACCTGATAGTCTGAAAAATACAGTAAAAAATAAATAAATACATAAAATGGGTCATTTTCCAGTGATTTCTTGTCGATGATAGCCTTGGTATCTTTTGTGTATCATCAAGAGGCGTCAATGTGAATTTCAGTATGTTGATTGTCAAAAAACTCGTCATTGGAGCTTTCAGGTTGTTGAAAACAGTAAAAAGTAGAGTGGCGGAGAAAGCTAATGTATAAACTCATGCTTAGCCTTGTGCTGATGGACCAAAATTCCAGCTCTAAGCAATCTTAACGTTTCCCATCAGTGGTAGATGTACTGACCCAATCACAGTCCTTATGACACCATCGTGGGGTGAAAATCTGATATTGTGACAGCTATAAATAGATAGTAATGCTTCTTCACTGTAGAATACTGCCAGCAAAATAGGTCTATGTCTCCTGTTTGTCGATTGTACACAGTCTTCTTGTTTGTGGATGTTGGAATTTCCCAGATTCAGTTTCAGGGTTCATTTTTCCAGATAAATGTCCCTGTAGTTGTGTTCTTATCATCCACCTCTTTAGTCTCAGCTGTGTTGACAACACATACAGTGATTCTGTCACAAGTGTATCACCTCAGCCTTGTGCTCTGATCTCCTGTATGTCTGCCTTTGTGTTTCTTTGTCTGTGCATGGTGCGTATTTGGAGGCAGACACAACATGCACCGCAACAATGTGTGCAACTTGGACATAGAGTCATGGAGGATACCATGCAGTGACTGGGGGGCAAAATTGTGTCTGTGTGTGTTCTGGGGTGTATGATGGGAACGGGAGGATAAGATCTCATTTCTATTTCTTGGTAGAGCAGCGATGGAGACTGAGCAGAGCAGCGTGAGGATGTTACAGGGGGAAGTTTGCCAGGTCGCAGGCACACTCCCAATCCCATATTTACTGTACCCACTGAATCATTACATCACATGATTCGGTACTGTATAATCCTTAAATGAAGAAGAGAAGAGGGGCACAGCAGGAGGGGAGGAAAGGGGTGGAGAGAGAAAAAGCAGACCCTCTGTGTCTCTGTAGCAGTCCTTTGAAATTGGAAAAGAAGATAATACTTTAAAAGCATTAAAGAAATCTCAAATATCAGCAGCACCGGCTCCATATTGGCAGATTGAATTTATCCTCATTATTTAATTTTCTGTCTCTTTTCTCTGTCTTTCTGTCCTCACATATCAATTCCCTCAAGAAATGTGCAGAAGGAGAGAGCGTGTGGGGGAGAGCATATGAAGAGAAATCAAACATCCCCCGTGTGCCAGTACGCTTACATGAACAGATTTACTAGTTTCATGACCCCCCTCCCCTACCCTCACCACCCACTGCCTGCTCTCTGTGTCTCTCTCAATCTCTCTATCTATCTCTCTCTCCCTTCCTCCCCACCCGCTCTCCCCCAAAATTCAATCTCGTATTTGCCAGTGATGGAGAGGAGCTCGGCAGTTTTATGCCAGGCGCAGTAGAATATATTAAACTGCAGGAAAAATATAAATAAATAAAAAGGGGGGGATCTATCTGTCCTAGTTTCTCTCCATTGAATGAGCATGATTTGGTAGAGCACGCTGCTTCATTTACTTATTTCTTTTTCTCACCACTGAATTCAGCACAGTGTTTGTACAGTTTGTATCCGAATATTGATATTGACTGCCCCAGGCTGGTGTGGAACGGGATTATGCGAGGGAAAGGAGGGGTCACTGTGCTGTCAAGTAAGACAAGGGAAGTTTAAGTTATGTAAGAAAGTGGGAAGAGAGTGGAGTGTTTTCATTTCTAGACTCTCCTCTTTGTTATAATATGTGCAGAGAGTTACGATTAATCCACTTTGAGCAGAGCACTTTGCAAAAATTAGCAAGTACCAACAGCAGCAGCAGCAGCAAGGTAAAACTTCCTTTTGATAGGCAGTTACCTTGAAAAGAAGAACCAGAGCTGTGTTGAACAGCCACCTGCTGCGACTGTTTGGGTTTGCAAACGGAGATGAAAGAAGAGAGAAAGAAACGAAACGACGTTGTGGTTCAGTGCTGATAATTGTGCTCAAGTGTGTGTGGTATTAGCAGGATAAAGAATGATCACCTACTGATCAGACTGACATTAACATGGACTGTAGTGACAATAAAATTGACAAGACTGATAGTCTTAATTAAAGCAGTAAGAGTCAAGCAGCTCTCAGATTCACATTAGCAATTATGATGATGATAATAAAAGTAAGACTGAGGTGTAGCAGTTTGAGTCAAACAGCGGGCCATAAAGACAACGATAAAGAAGACCTCACAGGAGCAGGAAGACTTGAGACTCTTTTCAGTGATATGAATGCCTTCAAAAATAAACATAAGCCTCAAACTAAGGGCTGGTTCAAGTCTGAGCCTGCCTGAACTCTAAGCTTTTTCAAAAAAGGAGATTTCTAAGACTACTCTGAAAAAAAGATTGAGGTCTACTTCCTCGACCATAACTGGAAATAAATTCAAAGAAACAGCTTCATCCCCGTAGAGTCAACCCACCCCACTAAAGGTATTTTTGATGGAGCCCGTGCCTGAAATGTATTAAGCTGAGCAGAGAGGATCAGCTTGGACAAGATGTCAAACACAGGACTTGCGCAAACCAGGCTAAAGTAGACCGGAGAGGAAAACACTATATTCTGTCTACTCCTGACTGTGTAACAGATTGCACAGAAAATGAATACTTATTTGTAGTTGAAGAAAACAACCTCGTTTTTGGGAGTTCTACCTTCTTGATTCATGAGAAGGCAGACAAAACCCCCAGAGCTGACCACAAACTGGAAGCCAATGCTCCAAAGAGGCAATATTATACTCAGACACAACATTACCAGAAAACGATGAAGACTTATTTCAAATTTAAGAAGACATTGTTGCTCACTTTTTGCATGCTAGCACGGTTTTTCAAACCCTGCATTACATAAAACAGAGGAAAGCACCAAGTCATCACATTATTTGTCTGCAAATCCCATGAAAAGACAAAAATAACAATAAATCAGTCTTACTTACAAGTATTGTCTGTGTACGCAAAGCCTGATGGGTTCGCCTCTGTCCCATTGTTGGGAAAAATTTGACATGTTTCTTTTTTTATAGCAGCATAAGCACTGTAATTTATTTTGACTCAATCCCACACACATTGTCCTGCTGCCCTGAATACTCCCTTGAGCATGAAATCCTTGGCCAAAAATAAAGTCAAACACAACCATGAAAAAACCCTTGGC